AAAAGTGAGCCCCGTAACTGTCTGCATCAGAGTGCGACACCTCAACAGTAGCTCACGAGGGATAGTGGTAAGGGTGGATGAAAAGGATAGGATTAAAAGGTAAATAGATAGAGAGGGGAATGAGAGAGCGAGGCGCAGGCACAGCGAACGACAGAAAACGACGAACGTAAAGAGGAGACAGGAAATATGGACACGGTCGCAGGAGTCCGAGGACGGGGCACCACTCGGCGAGAGCTCTTGTCGGCGGCAGGAGATGGCGTAAGGCGAGCCAGTTGGCCAGAGCTCCGCTGTCGTCGGAGATCGCGGGGGCACAACCGGTCGGCACGGAATCCTGAGAGCGAGTCGAATCAATTTCGACCACCTGGGCGCCTAAATCTAAGCAGACGGGCGTTCTTTGCACTTCGCCCTCATCGAAGCGCGACCGCCGCGGCCGCTTCATCGCACGCCTTCCAGCTAGTACAACGGGTAAACAGAAGATAAACAACCACGTTATCGATGTTTTATAGCATCGGGTTTTTATAAGAATAGACAAAATATGGCAACTATGCAAAGGGAATTCGGCCAAAAATATTGCAACAATAAACAAACTATCCAATACCAATCAGCTTAAAACCACTTTAATATCATGGCGTTGAAGTGACTCCGCGGATCCATAGCCGGCCTCGAGGACAACGTTGTTTTTGTGATAACTTAGCTAACATTGTATGCTAAGACTGGAAACAATGTTCTATATTGCCTTCTTTTTATTTTTGTTAGTGCATACACAGATATGGTTGTATAACCCATAAACATACCGCTTGAATTTTAATCTTTTTTTTTTCAACAGTGCTGCAACAGTTTTTCTTGTCTTGAATTGCTTATAACCACTATTCTCCGTAATGCCTTTGGTCATGATGGTATCAGTAAGTACGAAATAAAATAAAATTCATGTGCGCATAGGGAAGTAGGGAAGGTCGGTGGGGGGGGGGGGCACTATAGAGGGGCACGAATAGTCAGACTTTAGAAGTAATTTTTTTTTTAATTCGGAGGGTTACGGCTAGGAATTTTTTGCGACGATATTGGCGACCAAGGAGAACTTATATTGCATTCGAATAACTGCTTACTTTACACATTTACCCCCCCCCCCCCCCCCTGAAACTCTCGAACCAATGGCTGGCTGCTGTGAGAAGCGCGTCATCGCGTCATTTTGATTTGTACATCCACTGTGGGCCTGTTTTCTTTCGGACTCCACCAATGGCGGGGGGCATCCCCTTTCCCCACCTCCTCTATCGGAGAACCCTGCGCACACCTATGCGTCCCGTTTCTTCACGTGACGATGTATGGGTACGAGTAGTGGACCTTCCGAACATACGACCGAAAGTAAGGTGTCGTTGGTCTGCAGTTTCAAGATCCCCACGAATTCCGAGTGAAGCAACATATATAGGGATCTATCCCGGCCGAATGCTGATTCGAAGGAAACGTTGTGAAACTAGAACTTTCTTACTTTGTCGTGGGCGCTGCTAGTGCGATGGAGCGTAAGTTAACCTTACACAAAGTGGACCGAAAATTACATGGTGCCGGCGAGCTGAAAGAACCAAATAAATCTCGGTGAAAAACTTGCAAAACGGTTTTTGTGGAAAGGACGTTTTGACAAGCGTACTTGTCTTCTTCAAGGCTGCAATATCAAGGAACGTTCTCGAAGAAGACAAGTCAGTTCGTTGAGACGTTGGCCCCAGTACACAATCTCATCTTACGCCGTTTCTTTAAAGTAAATTTCAACGTTGTCGGCAACTCGATCATGACAATTGCAAAAATACACTCACGGTGTTTTCTTTTCCATGTCTATAACGTGTCACGGACTGGCTACTGCTGCTGTCGCAGCATTGAACGACAATCTAAAAGTCACACCTGTCCACACAGCGACGCGCGAACGTGCAGCTCTCCAGCAGTATATACACACGCGCTTAATGAAATAAATAAATAAATGTGAATTGATCAGTTTTTATACTATGTCAGACGTATACCCTTGTTTTCTGTTGCACGCAGATTGATTTTGTTTTTTGTAAATGAAGCAAAGCAGTCTTCCTAACTGCGGCCGACCCAGTGTTTAGTATATAGATCACAGGCACTGGTAGCCAATAAGCATATACTCGTAGCAGTGAGTTGCATGCAGCTTTTTGATCTAAAGTGGGGGCCGGGCTGGTAGATGGTGCACGATATTGCGCTATGTATGCATGGTGAAAAGGAATATCGAGGGCGGGGGGGGGGGGGTTGTGTTCAAAGTGCTACTCCTTGACTACGCCAATGGCTCGTGGCGTCGGGCGTGCACGCTTGATAGGACAATGGCAGCCAACTCGTCTTACTCAACAACTTGTTTTTTTTTCTAATTTAAAAACACTGTCTACAAACAAAAGTTCTATATATAAGAGCAGTTTGAACTAGTGAGAGAGACGATTGTTCAGAGGACGCATTTTTTTTTTTGTCAATCGCAAATGTAAAACAAAGCGGGCAATGAATTAGAGATAACACAGCGGGCCAGGCATTGGAAACTAAAACAAAGACCGGGAGAAGAAGAGCAGATTCATCTTATGCGCTTTGTCTTTCATTTTTATATAGTTTACGATGATGTTCGAGCAACAACTTGAAGATAATACCCCGGAACAGTCACGTCCAGCATGTGTAATCACACGATTTTACCATTTGTATAAGGTGAGCGAATTTCCACCAATCAATTCTCATCACATTCTACACTCTTCGATGGCGTGCATTTAGAAGAAGAGGTATACGTGCACTATACTTTGTTTTGCAAAAATTAAGCGCACACATCACCCAGTTTATTCCTTGACGGCCCAACATTCAATGCCATCAGAGCTTGAGAGCATAGGGTGTAAGCTCATAGATTCGCGTTAATTGATTGATTGATATGCGGAGTTTAACGTCCCAAAACCACCCGATATGATTATGAGAGACGTCGTAGTGGAGGGCTCCGGAAATTTCAACCACCTGGGGTTCTTTATAACGTGCACACAAATATGAGCACACAGGCCCATTTTCACTTCCATAGAAAATGCAGCTGCCGCAGCCGGGATTCGATCCCGCGGCCTGCGGGTCAGCAGCCGAGTACCTTAGCCACTAGACCACCGCGGCGGGGCAGATTCGCGTTCATGGGCAACAAGGAGAAGTTTCCTCCGGCATTGATTGGAGCTATTGCGTTCTGAAAAAAGCATTGTCGCCGTCGTATGTAATTCTTTTCTTGCGAACGGGGAACCTGATGACGCCCGGTTTTTGTAATATTCATTAACGATGGCTCATGGGCTCAGTGCGATGTCTTTATTAAATTTCATTTCTTTTCGCCTGAGGGATTGCGAAGAAAAAAAGGTATGTGGCGGCCTTTTTTCTTGACGTGAATATACCCGGCCACAGCAAATACCATTTAAAAACAATATACAGGAAGGCGCATTTACAAGTGGAGCGGCAATGAGAAATTTTGAAGCGAGGAAGAGAGTGCGTTGGAGTAGTTGGAAGAGTATGCTTCAAAATTATAGGCGAAATGGCCGTCATCAGCTTTTATTAGCAGTAGGTACAGTCAATGTGTGAAATTAGCTCCAATAAGTTACTCATCGGTGCAGAAGGAGGCGTTTATTGGAGATGCGCGTGCTGTTAACGCGTGCTGTTAACTGAATAGTATTGAACGACTTTGTTTCAAGGTGGAAGACCTGCGTATGGAGCGCAGTTAACGTGGATTTCAAGAATGACGAAAAGAAAAAAAGTGTATTGTTAGAGATGACGCGACAGGAGATGGTGCACTAGTCACACATATTTACGTTATTGCGCCTGTTTCCGAGAAGATATACACTATAGGGAAGCCATACACCGAACAGCGGCGGTTTTAAGCTGCCGCTACGTCATTCGCGAAATGGATTACGAAGGGCATCGCATGCATTTCATTGTATAGCGCTTAGTATTTACAAACCTAACATAATCTTTCGTTTTTGTTTCACGTGTAGGTGATGCAGTGTAGCGTTTATTCTTTTAATTTTTCATGAAGACACCAACGATGAGAGCATAAGATGGGGCCGACACCTGTTGTCATGGCAATGATGATGTCATACGCACGAGCTTCTCTTTTGCGTCTCGTCTATGTTGTGCAATCTGTGACCAACATGCCTAATTTTATATCAGCAAGAAATGTTACTCACTGAATCTGCAGGGCGACGGAGGAGGGGGACTTTCTTATGGTCGGCCATCGGTTGATGTTCCAATAGTTTCTTTTTTTTTTTTTTGACTCGCTCCTAATGAATCTCTCGATTTCGGGTTAAATACTACGCATATTATCACAAGCCTTGTATACGAAGCTGTTTTTGTCGTTTTCGTCGACTCGAAATTTAGTTTCGAAGTAACGATAACAGCAAGATATCTTAAGTATGGCACGGATAATGAATCAGAAAGTTGGTGCATGTCTTGGAATGAACTCACGGGTGTTTCTTTTTTTTCTTTAGCTCTGTCAATCATGCCGTAGAGCGAACTGATGGGGATCACGGGTGACGCGTGGATGCAAATCGCAGATTTATCTGTCATCCGAGCGGCAACAGGCGTGTCTGAGCCCCTGCATGTTCCGACGTCACTAGAGCCAACGGGCGACATCTCTTTCGTCTACACGCAAACCTCGCGAACGCACTTTCACAAACCACCATTCGTGTAGGTTTTCCATTTAGCTTAAGCCGCAATAACTTGCTGAAACTTCCTCGAAGAGACATTTGACGATAATCCAGATGAGTAGCGTGAACGAGTGTGCCAGGGGATACAGCTCGGGTTAAATGAGGAATGTGCCCAAAACCACAAGATCCTTAGGACATCTGTGTCCTGTGACCTATAGGAGTAGGCGAAATTGTTTTTCGAAAAGGGGAGAAATTCAATCAGGAAGAAGAGACGCTGTGCTGGTAGCGTTTCCATTCATGAGCGTAAGAAGTTCCTCTTCACGAAAGCGTTCAACTAGATACGGGCGATCAAGGAGTACTCACTACGACTGCTTCCAGGGGTGGATCGGGATCACGGAGCAGAACGTCGTGGCAGTCGTCTGCGGAGGCGGCGGAGGCTGCGGCGGGCCCAAAACCGGGGCGCAAAGCGCCGCCGCGGGGGCTTGGCAGCCCCAGGTGAGGCACACGACCATCGCCGTCAGCGCTGCCTCCGGGCACAGCACCGAGCACTGCAGGGACACGGCACGGTGGTCCGGAACGCGAATGGCCTGGCCGCCACCTAGGTGTTCGTAGCGCCGATCATGGATTTCTCAATGCAGAGTCGGTGGAGTTGTCAGCATGGCCCTTTGACTCCCCCCACGCCGTGTACACGCGCCTGCCGCCGGGGTCTGAGTGCAGCGGCAGATTCGCTCGCCCTCTCTCAGCTGCCGCGAGTGATGTGCACTACACGCAGGCGGCGGCGCACATCCAGGCGCCGTGCGCGAAGCGGTACACGCCGGCGGCGCATGTTGGTTGGTTGCCGCTTTTTGACGGAGAACGAACGAAAGGTGCGCCCTTGTTTCCGCCGTGCTCCCTTTCCCCTTCACTTGTACAGCCTCCCTCACGCCTCGGGAGAACCATTTTGGCTCAAATCTCCTGTCAGGTTTCGGTGTCCTCTCATCCGACGCGGAAAGGAGAAACAACGCATTTAACGGAGACCGCTTGCTGTCGGTAGCCGAGCGCGACGGCATCGCTATTCGAGCGGACCGCTATTTGAGAGCGCCGCGTTTTAACTGGATCGTCAAGTGTATCTTGTGGCTGACCTATGGGTGGCGGTTAAGTGAATACACGTATTCAGACATACAATGCATGGGTTGAAAGGACTCTCCACCTACACGGATCACTGTTGGATCACATTGCGCAAGCCTCACGCTTGCCAATATACAGGGTGTCCTAGGTAACTTTAGCCATAGTTTAAAAATATTCCGGCACACGCAATTACGATGCCACCAAATGCATGTTGCTTACCGTTGCCTGGAGTTAGACTATTCCTTGTGTCCTCAAATATTGTTTAACTAGATCTGTTTAATTAATTAGATTTGTTTAATTAACTAACTTTTCAAGAAACGAAGATGGATAAAAAGTTTCGATGAGGAAGTTTTAGATCGGTTTGCTAAACGTCTGATTAGACAGTTTTGAACATTGTATCTGGTAGGTATTAGTGTTTTTCTGCTAATTACAAATGCCTGCGAAATAAAAGCACTAGAATCATCGTGCGCACGGACGCGAGAGCGGGTTTTTCACGTGGTATTTTTTTGTATTTCGCGGGCATTTGTAATTAGCAGAAGAACACTAATACTCAACAGATGTAAAGTTTAAAACTATCTATCCGGACGTTTTACAAACCGATCTACAAACTTTCTCATGGAAACTTTTTATCTATCTTGGTTCCTTTTATTGTTAGTTAATTAAACAGATACAATTAAACAATATTTGAGAACACAAAAAAATAGTCTAACTCCAGGCAACGGTGAGCAACATGCATTTGGTCACATCGCAATGGCATGTGCCAGCATATTTTTAAACTCTCGCTAAAGTTACCTGGGACACCCTGTATAGGACCCACGTGGAAGGGTGATCCATATACAGTTCTGAGACTTGCGTCGTTCGTTGGAATTTTCATAGTTGATCAGAAGAGTGACACTAATAATCGAAACAAACGGCAACTTGGCTAGCATTAGTGATGCCATATAAATCATGTCATGACTAGAAGGCAGTACAAGAGTCAATAAGAGAGCTTCATCAACTTGGAGACCTTCTTTTGGGGAAATCAACATGCGTTTTTTTTTTTTTTGCGCTACAAACGTGTTGATGCCAGTTTTCTCTTCCGTAGTCCTTTCTCAACCGCGTTAGATTCCGCAAATTAAGGGTCTCACTCAAATGCTTGCAGCATGGGGCATCTGATGTTGCCATCAGTCAATCACTTAGCACCCCTGTGCCTCTGCCTAAGACAGAGATGGTTCGCTTAGTGGCTTACAGAGAACTTGTTTATAGCACCTGATTTAATCGCGGGCACTAGGTCGAGAAGTTAACTAACAGTATGTGTCATATCATACCTCAAGTATTGCATATGGCCCACAAATTCGTTTATTCTTGCGCACCCAGTTTCTATACCAGTCATTCACAGTGGTGATACGTGCGACGGTAGGTGCTTCTGATCACGTCACTCATGCAATTTTGCAACCCTCAAAATCTCCGCCCGTAGCGTATCGCTGCGAAGACCCTTGACCCTGTAATACCAATACATCGCATGTGCTGAGTTAGTTCAAAGTGCTGATTGAAGCACGAGAAGCTTAAATCAATGTTCACATGGATGCATTCTAGATGCACAGCAGTTGTGTTTCAACTTTAAATAGATCAACATGTATATTTACCAATTAGCTGCTGAACTAAGTTAGCATGTAGTTAACGAATTTTACAATGTCTTTCATATATAGTGATGTTTTTCGCATCACCAGAAATAGACAGGAGTTTTGATGTCTCAACTTTCTTTCATGCCGAGATGACCCACCCCGGTGGTCTAGTGGCTAGGGTACTCGGCTGCTGACTCGCAGGTCACGGGATCGAATCCCGGCTGCGGCGGTTGCGTTTCCGATGGAGGAGGAAATGTTGTAGGCCCGTGTGCTCAGATTTGGGTGCACGTTAAACAACCCCAGGTGGTCCAAATTTCCGGAGCCCTCCACTATGGCGTCTCTCATAATCATATGGTGGTTTTGGGACGTTAAACCCCACATGTCACAGGGTTAAATAATCGTGAAATTGTGTTTTGTGGTTCGATATTTGAAAATCGCGAGCAAAAATACATGATGCTTGAGTGGAACAAATAAAAAATGATGACTCTGCTTCGGTAAGCATGAAGCTATAGCTTGTGTAATGCGCAGGCGCATTGCACATGGCGTCACTCATGTTACGCAGTGTTGTGTAAGGAGCCTTAAGCTGTAGAACTTCTGACTTTGAGATTTTCATATTTCCACCTTATTCTTGGGAGGCTGCCAAGCCCACCACCAAGCGCCTTTTCGAAATGTCTCTCACTATATAGAACTTCAAAGATCACTTACGTCGCCTACGTGGTGGTCGAGAATAAGAGGGAAGGACTACTAAAGGTTGAACGAGAAAGATAACCCCGCCACTTGTACCTTATTTTTTCTTTTTTTTTGGGCAGGATATTTGGAAATCGCGAGCAGAAATCTTGATGAAGGCCAGACTCTAGGCCGAAACGTCGAAATAAACCACGTTGTGACCGCTCACGGAGGGTCTACTTGATTACTTGCAACGCTATGGCCACTCAACCACAACCAGCGTGCCTGCCCATATATATATATATATATATATATATATATATATATATATATATATATATATATATATATATATATATATATATATATATATATATATTCAACGTCGTAGCACTATACACAGGGCTTGCCTTTTAGATTCCGTTCACGTTTGTTTTTTGTTTTCTTTTCCTATGCTCTTAACACTTATTTGCACTACGCAATGAATTTACGGGGGGAATCCTGGTAAGATGGTCTAGAAACCTAGAGTGATGCGAAAAGCCAAGACACTAGCCGCCATGACGACACGCGCAATTGGCATTGGATGTTTCACAAGCTTAACACCTTAACGCTGCGACTTATAGCGGCAGACGAAAGCGCCTGTTGAGATGTTTATCCACATGCAGGCGAAGAAATCGCTCTAATACTGTTTAGACTTCACCCGAGGATCGCTACGTTATTTGTCAGTAGCACGAAGAAAAAAATCAATAAATCTGTCAAATGATGAGATTGCCTACATTTTTTTCGCCGTCAAATAGACAGAGAGAGAAAAAAAGCGAGAAAGTGAGAAAATCACCAAGAGGTTTCAAACGGAACTGAGCTCGTCCAAATGCGTCACTATAATGGTTCACTCGTTATTTACGGTGACAGTATATATTCTTCTCTCATAAGATGTTCGAACCAGCCTATTATTTTTTTACGTCTATGTCAATCAGTAGCTAATCAATGCAATGAATGGTCAAAAGAGAAATTTCAAAGTAATTATTGATTGATATGTGGGGTTTAACGTCCCAAAACCACCATATGATTATGAGAGACGCCGTAGTGGACGGCTCCGGAAATTTCGACCACCTGGGGTTCTTTAACATGCACCCAAATCTGGGCACACGGGCCTACAGCATTTCCGCATCCATCGGAAATGCAGCCGCCGCAGCAGGGATTTGATCCCGTGACCTGTGGGTCAGCAGCCGAGTACCTTAGCCACCATATCACCACGGCGGGAAGTCATATTAAAGTAAAAGGCTGATTAAACAAGTAATTGTTCATATCAGAATACTTCACGATATGTCCGAACCATGCATGCGCACACTCACGCATGCATGCACCCATTCCTTCTCCCCGAGATACAAGCAAAGAAAAAAAAGTGGAAAGAATGAATGAGAAGCCGTGACTTGGCGAGAGGGGGAGGGTGGGACATGGTTCGCGGGGTTAGCGACTTGCTATTATATTTTCTGTTTTCTTTTTGCATTGGCTCAACGAGCACTAGTTGTCTCAAGTTCGATATGCTCGATCCCAAGGATTGATTGATTGATATGTGGGGTTTAACGTCCCAAAACCACTATATGATTATGAGAGACGCCGTAGTGGAGGGCTCCGGAAATTTAGACCACCTGGGGTTCTTTAACGTGCACCAAAATCTGAGCACACGGGTCTACAACATTTCTGCCTCCATCGGAAATGCAGCCGCCGCAGCCGGGATTCGAACCCGCGCCCTGCGGGTCAGCAGCCGAGTACCTTAGCCACTAGACCACCGCGGCGGGGCGGAGATCCCAAGGATACATTTGTTCTATAATATATTGCTGAAAAAAAAAACAGTATAGTGCATTATGTTGGAATAGAAAGAGAGAGAGAAGCAAGGAAAGGCAAGGAAGTTAACCAGACGCACCTGCGCAATGGGTGGCTAAAATTCCAAGCAAGTACAGAATACTTTAGAAAGAGTCGTACTAGTCATACCCTACTGATCTATTGTTTCGAAATCATTGTAATCTGCCGCGGGTGCTATTATCACGTTGCCCATCAAGGTAAATAAAAAAATAAACATATTTGTGAGCACACTTCGTTCGAAATAAAGAAGCAAAACGTAAACAAATGCTGTGCAAAGTAAACAAAAACAAACATCAGCAGCATATTCACGAAGTGACATGATGATGAATGGAGCG